TCTTATAAGCCTAATATAAGGGGTAGGAACGCAAAAAAAGAAAACTTGACGACAAAAAAAAACAGGAAAAGAAGAGAGTATGTCAATATCAGACTCTCCAAGAATCGCTCTTTGGCTCCCTCAAGCTGTTTTCTTTTTTCTTTTTGAGTCCTCAGACGACGACAAAAAAAAAAAGAAAGACAGTCGGGGGTCCCAATGCGCATCTGACTCTTCAAATTGGAGGCTGGTGAAGAAGGCCCTCATAGTGTTTGAGTCCTCTTGAAGGAAATCTTTCTGATCGCACTGCCTGCAAAACATGCACAATTATAGGGGCTTGCCACACTCCCGTCCAGACTCGAACGCCCCATTATTTGAGGGTGTCACCAAAAACTGCAAACTTAAGTTCCCTCTTCAATGGTTTACACCCCCTTCATCACACTACACCATGATGGAGGAGGTGGACATTGGCGGCTGTCATGATGAAAAAAAAAAAAGAAAAAAAAAGGGATGGTGTTCTATAACGCTGTCTGGTGGTGATGAAGGGGACTTGCCCTGCGCACGGCTTTGCCACAAGAAAAAAAAAAAAAAATCGAGAAAAGAATTTAAAGGGATAGCTTCAGCAACTTGCCTTTTTTCAGTTTTGGTGCGCCGAAAACGACTCTTGCTGCAGAAAAGCTAAGCCGATAGCGGAAAAGTGAACCTCAATTTTTTTGCTTTTATTTATTTACTATTTAGTTTGTTCTTTCCGATTTGGTGCAGTCCCAGTCAGTGTCTTTGACTCTTTGAGTTTTTGAAAAAAGAAAAGAAGAAACATTTCTTAAAGTTCGTGGGACCTGGCCCCCTTCTGGTCTGGCCAATCTCATCTAAGCCTGTCATGACGCCCAAATACACTTCATACATCTTCTTTTTTTTTTTAACGTCTTCGTATACTACTCTATACGAGATTTCTATCATACATCAAATTTACAATCTTCTTCCTTATCTCTGTATTTACACACACTAGTATACGAGATTTCTATCATACATTAAATTTACAATCTTCTTCCTTATCTCTGTATTTACACACACTGGTGGCCCAATACACTGCATAGTAGTTCATATGTTTTTTTTTTTTTAAGTAGTTCGTATGTTACGATACAAGGCAGACATTTGAGAGGTGGTCATTGGTCAAGTAACACAACTCCTTGCCGGCTCCACCATCGTTACAGAGCGTGGCGGCGGTGGCGCTTTCTGGATCGTGCATCTTCTTTGCGTGCAACTTTTCTTCAAAGCTACCCAATTTTTTGAAAGCTGGCATAGGGCCAGATCACACTGGCAAAGAGGATTGGAATAAGTGTCTGAATCTGGACGTGTTCCACCCAGAGATGCAGAAAAGCAGATCACTCACAATCTCTTACACCTCTCCACAAACACGTCCAGATTCAGACACTTATTCCAATCTTCTTTGCCCGTGGGATCTCGCCCACATACTGGCAGATTGAACTCTCCTCCAAGAACTTGCCTTTCTAAATCTTTCCCTTAAAAAAAAAAAAAACAAAAAAAAAAAAAACAAATCCCTTAAGTTGACAAAGATAGACGGTAAGAAGAGACTCTCTATATTTTTTCAGGTGGTGACGGTCACCGATATAGCGAAGCTCCGTCTGTGGAAGGTGAGACCGTGAAAGTGTATCATGATGACGATGGCTAGTGCATGGGTGAAGTCCATGAGGAGAGCTGCATGTTGGAATTTAATTTCTCCATTGAGAAGTACATGCTAGGTCAAAGAGGAAAAAACAAAAAAAAAAAGAGAAAAAAAAAAAAACAAAAAAAGAAAAGAAAAAAAAAAGAAAAAAAAAAAAAAAGCTAGGCTGTGGTTCTTCAAATGAACTTCGAAGTTTGAACTTGTCTTTCGTGCTTATTATGTCAATCATCCTGAAGACTTACTGTTCCTGAAGCATCCCAATTTTTTTTTTTTTTTTTTTAATTATTATTATTCTATTCTTTCTCTTCACTACAATACCCTTACTACCACTACTCCCTAAAACTATATAGAGGGGACCCCTGCAAGCATAGGGCCTCGCAAACGAGGTAAATCATGTTGCCCCAAAATTTCATCAATCATCAAATTGAACGTATTGAATTGTATTCCAATTCCAAATTATAAGGGACGCTGGGCCCGGTKCCCAGCACGTGCTGCTCCTCACGAATAGATTGGAGCATTTTTTAATTTAAATATGCAAAAAAAAAAAAAAAAAAGATAAAGAAAGAGAAGATAAGCATGGCCCATGACAATGATGCCACACATAAATTGAGAAATGGTCCAAATTGCAAAAATAAATTAAAAAAGTGAATTTTAAAGTGCAGTGGTTTGATATGATTTGATTAAATTAAAATTTTGATAGTTTATGATACATGGATCAATGGAGAAGTTTGTCAGGACGAGGAGGACGAGGAGCGGCGGCCAGAAAGCGTTTGCGAGGAGGAGGAGGAGGGGGCACAGGAATCTCCTGAGCTTCAGAATGATTAATATCTCTTTGTGTGCACAGTGAAGTGCTCCATCCCCTCTCCAGTAGCCTGTTTTGCGGGGAGCTGCTAGATAGCCACCACTCATTTGCTAGCAGCTACTCAGGTTCATGAATCATGAATGAAAAACTGAGTGAGTCAGGGCAAACCACCCTGTCCACAAAGCCTTCCGCCGCCCCCCTTCTTCTCAAAAGGACAATTAATTAAAGAAGATGAATGTGATTGTTACGGATGAAGTAGATGATACCAATTTGAAATTCCTGCTGCCACGGGATATCTGTGTTCTCTGTCGAGTCCCCTAACCCCCGGGGTCCCATGCGGCCACACATGCATGTGAGGACCGCACAACTCCGCACGAGGGGAGCACGGTCTCCTGAGCAACGAGGAGTGAATTAAGCGCCTGAGTCTGGATGTGTGTTGTGCAAAGATGCGGAAATCAGATCAAACGTGACTTTCTGTACCTCCCCATGAACATGTCCACATTCAGGTGTTCAATGCTCCCATCATGATGCAGTCCACACACATAATATGTTGTGTCTTTACAAGACAAAAACACAATGCACTCAAACATCACTGCTAAGGGCTACTGCTTTGACGCTCAATGCCATGCGGACCGTGACGTGGTTACTCGGTGCAATTGGAAATGACAACAATACACTGAATCGGATTCAGAAGTTGTTTGCGAAAGATGATAGCAGCTGACTAGACTAAGTCATTTTTTTCCCCTTTTTCCTTAGTTTTTTTTTCTTTTTCTTTTTTCTTTTTCTTTTTTCTTTTTCTTTCTGTCTATATGCAAGTAGTAGTTTTTTTTTCTTTTTCTTTTTTCTTTTTCTTTTTTCTTTTTCTTTCTGTCTATATGCAAGTAGTGGGCCCTCTTCCTTGCGAGATATGCCTTTTTCCTCTTTTCTTTTTTCGTTTTTCTTCGTTTTTTTTTGCTAGTCCCACCTCGGCTGTTTCTTCCATGATCGCGACCTGATGCAAAAAAATATTATCGCTGTTAAACATTATCAGTGAACAAGCAACCCAGAACACACAAGCCAACCCAACGCACAATACACAACCCAACCCAGCTCCCAATACCCAACCCAACCCAACGCACAATACCGGGAATGCCCCACCCAATGCAACGCGACTCCACGATACCCCACCCTGCCCTACCCTGTCCTACCCTACCCTACCCTACCCAACCTAACTCAACCCAACCCAACCCTACAGAACCCACAATACATAACCCAACTCCAGACTTGAGAACCCAACCCAACCGAACCCACAAAATTGGCACAGATTCCCACAATACTCCACCCAAGCCAACCCCACAACACCCTACCGGGCCTACCCTACCCTAGTAACCCTACCCTACCCTACCCTACCCTACCCTACCTAACCCAATCCACAATACACAACCCAGCCCAATTCCCAACTTGGATACACGACCCAAGCCAACTCACAATATCCCACCTGACCCAGCCCCACAATACCATACCCTACCCTACCCTGCCCTACCCAACCCCACCCCAACGCAGCCCAACCCAGCGCAACCCAACCCAGCCCGACCCAACACAACACACATCAGTTGTTTCCGTCATGTTGTGTCAATCTGTAAGCCCGGCCTACCAGAGAAAAGATCAAGTAAGGTGTGATCTGCGATGCACCAAAGCAGAGCGCTGCTCCATCAGCCTACCTAAAGTGCCCACTAAACCCTACCCCCCTAGCAGACCCTAAACCCTAAACCTGAGGCCCCTAAAACCTAAGAGTCCAAGTCTGAAATTCCACCCCACGGTCCCCACCTAAACCATCACCACTTAACCCAAGAACTTTAACGCTAAATCCGACACCACTCAAACCATCATCCACTAAACTCAAGAGCTTAAATCCTAAGCCCAGCACCACTAGCTATACCACGAGTCCACGACCCACTAAAATTGTGCCTAAGCCCTGAACCCTAAACCCTAAACCCTACACCGCCTCACATTCTAGTAAATCCAATACCTCCTAATTTAACTGTTGACCAAAGAGCCCTAAACCCTAAAGGGCCTAAACTCTGAAATATCCAGGAAGGAAATATCAAGGAAGGAAATATCAAGGAAATATAAAGGAAATATCAAGAAGCCATGACCTGATTCAGAACAGTAGCTGTAGTTGGGGTGAGATGGTTGCTAATTCCTGAATTTTCCTCGCAATCTCGTGGAGATACACTTAGCTATTTCCTGAATTTGCCTCACAATCTCATGAAGATACACTTAGCTATTTCCTGAATTCTCCTCACAATCTCATGCAGATACACTTATAACTTTATAGTATGATCATGATCTCCAGCTGCTGCGATTCTCGACACGCCACATGTCAGTGATGTCATGGAAGCCCACCACAGGCAAGGCTTGGCATTTCAAATCACCCTAAACCCGCCCTTGCATTCATCAGTACATGGAGGTTCTACTACCGTCTTCACCTCAATAGAACACCCAGTCATTATAGGCTTATAGCTGCATTTGGCACAACTTTCAGTCCAGATGCAGCGAGAATTACCGAGCCTTTTATTCGGGCGAAGACGGTAGTGAAGTTAAACAGCAAACGCGCGTCAAGCAAAACTTGTAGCTGTTGATCGAATTTGATTCTGTGAATTGCAGACACGTTGATGGCATGATCGCCCCAGACTTCGAAGAGAGGATGCACCTGGCCGTATATTTTATCCACATTCAGTCCAAAATTGTTCGTTTGTGTGCGAAGTTGCAAAGACACTGAATATAATACTTTCCCCCCTGTGCAATTTACCCTTGGATCCCCCCTCTCCTGTTTCCCCCCCCTCGCCCCTCTCCCCTCCACAATTCTTCTGTTCTACTATAAAATGGTGGGAAAGGATGCAGGGGGTCGACACATATGTCGTGGAGGAAGAAAGCCGACAATCCGCTGCACCAGCTCTTCAGGCAGTTGCTCCCACATGGACCCCTTGAATAGGCGGGCAAAATGATGGCATCGGTATCTCTTGACGTCGCCAAGCGTCGACAAACGAAGGCCGTACTTGATGACCTTGTAATTGAAAGAAGAGCGGTGTGTTGCCCGAAAAACCATCTCGGAATTGAACATAGGACAAGCGGTCCCGAACACAAGTCTTGTCAGCGAAGCAGCCACTGGGATCAACCGCTCCACCTCCGACTGGCTGGCATACACAAGATACCCAGGGTTGAAGGACATCTCGTGGAGACTTCGGACGGATTCCAGCTCTTCAGGTGTGAGCATTCGGCGGGACTTCGGCGTAACGTCCCAGTCAGTGAAGAGATCGATGTTCCCGAAGTAGATCGGAAGGGTCCCCCACCATCTCATCACCAGGGTGGGTATGTTCCCATGCGGCTTGTATCGCTTCTGAACGAGCTCCTCCGCGACGACTCTGATTATCGTCGAGTCGTCGGCGTTCCCACCATTTGCTTTGGCGATTACCACGCCCGTGTCTCGCTCTCTGACATGCGCAAACGATCCGACGCCACTTAACTCGGACGTCCAGTACCCATCCAGCATCAGCATACGCAGGGGGTACGTTCGGCCGTCGGACCCCGCAAGATCGAAGTCCACAAGAAAACCCAGAGAGCCTTCCTCGAGCACCATATTGTGGAAGCAACTCTTTCCTAAACTATCTCTGCACTCCTTCTCGCAGTAGTCGAACAATCGCCGGGCGAGAATCTGGTCACTCTCCCCGTTCACGTTCTTGCCCCACCGAGAGAAACATAGCTTAAGCTGAGGTGACGAGACCGAAAAGCAGTACCTTAGGAAGGACGTAGCGAAAGCCTTCTTAACGTCAACATGCAGATGTCCTTCTGCTGGAAGATCGTCCACCGAAATCAAGTCATCGAGCACTAAGTCGTGAAGATTCTCTGCACCATCACTGCTGCCATCATCCTCCGCACTTCCGTTGATTATATGCCCACATTCGCAATCGTTATGATCCCGAGGATCGTCGCTACAATCGATTTGCAAGAACTCAGCTGCAAATTTCCTGGCCAGATTACTGAGCACTTGGTAGTCCAAACGCTGGTTTGTTTTGCAGTGCTTAGCGAACCCATTGGCAAAGGCATCGATGTTCTCCCTCATAAGACGGATTCTTCCCGGTTCAGACACGAAATCGTGGAGGAGTACGGCATCGCCAACACTCGCGGAGGTGTCTAGGCAAGCCATTTGAAGAGGTAGGACATGCCATTTCTCAAACAGACTTCCTTCAAAGGCCGTGCGAAAGTCGAGCACTACTGTGTCATCGTTAGGACCGTCGGCACCGTCGGGACGATCATCATACGGGCAAATTGTGTCCATCTCTTGCCTCTTCTTTTTCCGAGTTCTTCGTCCTTCCTCGTTGGGAGATGCTGCAAAGTGATGAGACATGGAATGATCAGAATGAACTACTATAATCACAATGGGGGAAAACTATCTGCAACGTCACACGTCGTCACTGGTTTTTTCCTTATCTGCTGGAAAAGACAAACAAAGAGTAGGCCTAGAACTAGTCCTCTTTCCTTATCCCTTTCTCTTTTCTCCGTCCAGTACTTCCGCAGCTTTGGTCCATGGGGAGGAATGCCGTGTGATTCAGTAGTGAAAACACACACACACACACACACACACAAAAAAAAAAAAAAAAAAAAAAAAAAAAAAAAAAAAAAAAAAAAAAAAAACACCGGCGCCATTTTGCTTGTACTGTACAGTGCACAGTGCACACAACAAATGTTACAAATCGAGGAAAAAGGAGGAGGATAATAGGGAAAGCTGCTTATGCATAATGTACTGATAGCTGTAGGTCTTTAGAGAGAGTGAAACGCTTATCAGGCTTCCCGCCGAAAGACAACACCAGCTTGAAACAATTACTCCCATCACATCATGGAAACAAGTACTCCCATCATATCATGGAAACAACTACTCCCATCACATGGACACTTTACTGGATATATTGACCTGCAATCAGTGCAATGGCGCCCAAATGAAGTCGAAAAGGTCCTGGCACTGGCTGCCAGTGGCCGGCAGCCTGGCAGTGTAAGAATGCCCCTTGTTACGTAAGCACATTATGCTGATCAACTATTGCCAAGCAGCTTGAGGACAATTTACTGATTCCACAAAAAAAAAGAAAAGAGAGAGAGAGAGAGAGAGAGAGAGAGAGAGAGAGAGAGAGAGAGAGAGAGAGAGAGAGAG